GGAACTTTGGGGAGAGAGACGGGTTTTGGGGTGAGAAAGGGCGATTTTGGGGAACTTTGGGGAGAGAAACAGGTTTTGGGGTGAGAAAGGGCGATTTTGGGGAACTTTGGGGAGAGAAACAGGTTTTGGGGTGAAAAAGGGCGATTTTGGGGCGTTTGTGGGGGAGAAACGGGTTTTGGGGTGAGAAAGGGCGATTTTGGGGCGTTTGAGGGGGAGAAACGGGTTTTGGGGTGAGAAAGGGCGATTTTGGGGAACTTTGGGGAGAGAGACGGGTTTTGGGGTGAGAAAGGGCGATTTTGGGGAACTTTGGGGAGAGAAACAGGTTTTGGGGTGAAAAAGGGCGATTTTGGGGCGTTTGAGGGGGAGAAACGGGTTTTGGGGTGAGAAAGGGCGATTTTGGGGCGTTTGAGGGGGAGAAACGGGTTTTGGGGTGAGAAAGGGCGATTTTGGGGCGTTTTAGGGAGAGAGACGGGTTTTGGGGTGAAAAAGGGCGATTTTGGGAACTTTGGGGAGAGAAACGGGTTTTGGGGTGAAAAAGGGCGATTTTGGGGCGTTTGAGGGGAGAAACGGGTTTTGGGGTGAGAAAGGGCGATTTTGGGAACTTTGGGCTCAGAAACAGCAGTTTTGGGCTCAGAAGGAGCGATTTCAGGAACTTTTGGGCTCAGAAATGGCGATTTTGGGCTCCAAAACAGCGATTGAGGGAGTTTTGGGCACAGAAACAGCGATTTTGGGGCTTTGGGGTTGAGAAATGGCGATTTTGGGCTCAGAAACAGCGATTTTGGAGCTTTCAGGCTCCGAAACAGCAATTTTGGGCTCAGAAGTGGCGATTTAGGGAGTTTTGGGCTCAGAAGTGGCAATTTCAGGATCTTTTGGGCTCAGAAACGGCAATTTTGGGCTCAGAACCGGCAATTTTGGGATCTTTTGGACTCAGAAATGGCAATTTTGGGCTCTGAATTGGCAATTTTGGGATCTTTTGGGCTCAGAAATGGCAATTTTGGGCTCAGAAGCGGCGATTTCGCGAATTTTGGGCTCCGAAGCAGCAATTTTGGGGCTCAAAATGTCTATTTTGGGCTCAGAATCGGCAATTTCGGGATCTTTTGGGCTCAGAAGCGGAATTCTGGGCTCAGAACCGGCGATTTATGGGATCTTTTGGGCTCAAAATGTCTATTTTGGGCTCAGAATCGGCAATTTCGGGATCTTTTGGGCTCAGAAGCGGAATTCTGGGCTCAGAACCGGCGATTTAGGGAGTTTTGGGCTCCGAAGCAGCAATTTCGGGAGTTTCGGGGTTCAGAAATGGCTATTTTAGGCTCAGAAGTGGCGATTTAGGGAATTTGGGGCTCAGAAATGACAATTTTGGGCTCAGAAGTGGCGATTTAGGGAGTTTTGGGGCTCAAAACGTCTATTTTGGGCTCAGAAGCGGCGATTTAGGGAGTTTTGGGCTCAGAAATGGCAATTTTGGGCTCCAAAGCGGCGATTTCGGGATCTTTTGGGCTCAGAAACTGCAATTTTGGGCTCCGAAGCGGCGATTTAGGGAGTTTTGGGCTCTGAAGCAGCAATTTTGGGAGTTTTGGGGCTCAAAACGTCTATTTTGGGCTCAGAAGCGGCGATTTAGGGAGTTTTGGGCTCAGAAGTGGCAATTTCAGGATCTTTTGGGCTCAGAAACGGCAATTTTGGGCTCAGAACCGGCAATTTTGGGATCTTTTGGACTCAGAAATGGCAATTTTGGGCTCTGAATTGGCAATTTTGGGATCTTTTGGGCTCAGAAATGGCAATTTTGGGCTCAGAAGCGGCGATTTCGCGAATTTTGGGCTCCGAAGCAGCAATTTTGGGGCTCAAAATGTCTATTTTGGGCTCAGAATCGGCAATTTCGGGATCTTTTGGGCTCAGAAGCGGAATTCTGGGCTCAGAACCGGCGATTTAGGGAGTTTTGGGCTCCGAAGCAGCAATTTCGGGAGTTTCGGGGTTCAGAAATGGCTATTTTAGGCTCAGAAGTGGCGATTTAGGGAATTTGGGGCTCAGAAATGACAATTTTGGGCTCAGAAGTGGCGATTTAGGGAGTTTTGGGGCTCAAAACGTCTATTTTGGGCTCAGAAGCGGCGATTTAGGGAGTTTTGGGCTCAGAAATGGCAATTTTGGGCTCCAAAGCGGCGATTTCGGGATCTTTTGGGCTCAGAAACTGCAATTTTGGGCTCCGAAGCGGCGATTTAGGGAGTTTTGGGCTCAGAAATGGCAATTTTGGGCTCCAAAGCGGCGATTTCGGGATCTTTTGGGCTCAGAAACTGCAATTTTGGGCTCCGAAGCGGCGAATTAGGGAGTTTTGGGCTCCGAAGCAGCGATTTCGGGAGTTTCGGGGTTAAGAAACAGCTATCTTGGGTTCAGAAGTGGCGATTTAGGGAATTTTGGGCTCAGAAATGACAATTTATTAGGGAGTTTTGGGCTCCGAAGCAGCGATTTCGGGAGTTTCGGGGTTAAGAAACAGCTATCTTGGGTTCAGAAGTGGCGATTTAGGGAATTTTGGGCTCAGAAATGACAATTTTGGGCTCAGAATCGGCAATTTTGGGATCTTTTGGGCTCAGAAGTGGCAATTTTGGGAGTTTCGGGGCTCAAAACGGCTATTTTGGGCTCAGAAGCAGCGATTTAGGGACTTTTGGGCTCCGAAGCAGCAATTTTGGGAGTTTTGGGGCTCAAAACAGCTATTTTGGGCTCAGAAGTGGCGATTTAGGGAGTTTGGGGCTCAGAAGCGGCAATTTAGGGAGTTTTGGGCTCAGAAATGGCAATTTTGGGCTCCAAAGCGGCGATTTCGGGAGTTTCAGGGCTCTGAAGTGGCAATTTTGGGAGTTTTGGGCTCAAAACGTCTATTTTGGGCTCAGAAGCGGTGATTTAGGGAGTTTTGGGCTCAGAAATGGCAATTTTGGGCTCAGAAGTGGCAACTTAGGGAGTTTTGGGCTCCGAAGCAGCAATTTCGGGAGTTTCGGGGCTCAGAAACGGCAATTTTGGGCTCAGAAGCGGCGATTTAGGGAGTTTGGGGGCTCAAAACGTCTATTTTGGCCTCAGAAGTGGCGATTTCGGGAGTTTCAGGGCTCTGAAGTGGCAATTTTGGGAGTTTCAGGGCTCAGAAACGTCTATTTTGGGCTCAGAAGCGGCGATTTAGGGAGTTTGGGGCTCAGAAACGGCAATTTTGGGCTCAGAATCGGCAATTTCGGGATCTTTTGGGCTTGGAAACTGCAATTTTGGGCTCCGAAGCGGCGAATTAGGGAGTTTTGGGCTCCGAAGCAGCGATTTCGGGAGTTTCGGGGTTAAGAAACAGCTATCTTGGGTTCAGAAGTGGCGATTTAGGGAATTTTGGGCTCAGAAATGACAATTTTGGGCTCAGAATCGGCAATTTTGGGATCTTTTGGGCTCAGAAGTGGCAATTTTGGGAGTTTCGGGGCTCAAAACGGCTATTTTGGGCTCAGAAGTGGCGATTTAGGGAGTTTTGGGCTCAGAAACGGCTATTTTGGGCTCAGAAGCGGCGATTTAGGGAGTTTTGGGCTCAGAAATGGCAATTTTGGGCTCAGAAGCGGCGATTTAGGGAGTTTCAGGGCTCTGAAGTGGCAATTTTGGGAGTTGTGGGCTCAAAACGTCTATTTTGGGCTCAGAAGCGGTGATTTAGGGA